CTCAGAATTTAGGATAATTCAAAACACTTAACATACAATTCTATGTTCAAAAAACATCAGTTGAATAGATGGCCATATTTTCCCTTTTAAAAGCTCACTCTGGCGGGGCAATGGTGCCACACGCCTTTAATCAAAGCACTCAGGAGGCAGAGGCAGGCAGATCTCATGAGTTTGAGGCCAGTCTGGTCTACAAAGGGAGTTCCAGAACAGCTAGGACTATACAGAGAAACCCTGCCTTGAAAAGAGAGAGAGAGAGAGAGAGAGAGAGAGAGAGAGAGAGAGAGTGTCACAAAGGGCCTGAAAAGGAAAAAAAAGAAAGCAAAACAGGGGGCCACATCTATTAGGCTTCAACGTGGGTCTTTTAACAATGGGGAAACGATTGGTTTAAGGATATAAAACTGCAGTTGGACAAGAGGCATGGACTCTCTGAAGTCTTGAGGTCTACTGAGAGCATGATAAATATGGTTGATAACAATATGCTATATTTTAAAAGTTGTAAGATAGTATAATTTAAGTGTTCTCAAAACAAAAATGATGAATATGTGTGATATAACATGTTAATTGGTTTAATTTAGCCATGCCATTGTGAACATACTGTATTCTGTATCATAATTGTGCATGACTTTATTTATGAGCTAAATAAATGAATGAAATGAAAAAAAAAAAAACAGGGGGCCATATAATGGCCTGGGTTCCAGAAGAAAACACAGGGTATCAGCCACTTCTCCATGATCACTAAGGAGAAAAGGCAGGAAAGGTAGAGTGTACACTGCAGAAGAAAAGAAGAGGCTAAAGCATCAGGAAGGACTTCAACCACAAGAGCATGAGCTCCTGGAGGGTACTGAAGCAGGCAGGGAACCTCTCACCTCAGAAAACTGGAAAAGGGGGGACCTCTCACCTCAGATAACTGGAAAAGGGGGCCTCTCACCTCAGATAACTGGATAAGGGGAACCTTTTGCCTCAGATAACTGGGTAGCTTCATTTCTTTCCCTCCCTGCCTCCATCTTTGGAAGTTATGTATCAGAAGAGAGGCCCTGAGCAGCCCCGGCTTAGAGCAGCCCACTGTCTGGTGGAAACGGAAAGGAAGAAGGGCTTCTTGACACCATTCCCAATTTGTAGTTTCCTTCAGGCTTACTGGATTTGGTCTTTTCCCTCGAGGGCTGTCCTGGTGTTGGACTCAGAAGAAACATGTCTGGCCCTTCCCCAGTACCTCACCTCTGCAGGGGCAGACAAGGCATGTGCAGCTGCCGAGATCCACTCCTGGGGCTGGAGGTCAAAGATCACCCCTTGCTGACTAAGTTGTCCTAAGAGACAGGCCGCTGCATTCTGTAAGAAAGATAGAGGAAAAGAAGGATCATTTGAATCTGGTGTTCAGGACACAACAAAGATGCTTGCAGAAACAGCTGCAAATAGAACAATGGCTGCCTGCTCCCAAGAGGGTTAGACAAAGGTGTGAAAGGAGAAGGGAGAAAGCTGGAAACTCACCACAAGAGAGACGACATGTGAGTGGGTAAAAAGAGTAGCAACCTCACTGCCTAGCTTCTCCATTCTGGAATAGAGAGACACAATGTAGGGTGACAATGGGCTGATAAGTGGCCTTCCCTTTCCCTTGTACTGCACTCCCCACCTACGCCACCGCTGCTGCTGCTGCTGGCTGGCTGCTGCCTGTCTACCTCCAAGGCCCAAAAGTGATGAGGACCCAGGCCTGTTCTTTGCAGGGAAATTCCACTCTCTCTGTCTCAGCCCTTTCTAGGAAAGGGCTAAGGGGTGCCATTCCCCATGTGTCAGGGACAGCTCTGTGGGAAGGAGACTTCAGTGGAGAGGCCTGACTTTATGACTCACCCAGAAGGCAAATCTTGGAGCCGAAAGACAAGAAGGGACAGGAGGTAGAGTGCCACCTCAGTCGACTCTTCCCAATCTGCTACTTTTACCTACAAAGGAAACCTGAGCTATCACAAAAACTTCTGCGTGACATGGACCACCATGAGACACCCAGCCATGTTGGTATCACTGGCTTACCTTGCCCTGGACCAACATCAGCAGTGACTCCAAGGCCAGGGGCTCTTGCCCCAGAATATGGCACAGGTGCTCACTAATATAGCAGCAGGAATAGAGAACCTAGGGAAGGTGATAGGATCTGTCAGTGGACAGATCAGCCTGGGTTCCTACAGTGGAAGGCTCAGCTGAAAAGCAGGCAAGCCTCTCAGTAGAGCTGGTGTCCACATGTGGGGGTTGTGACAGTTGTGACTGTCAATGACTGGAGTAGGAAGAGCCTAAGTAAAGCACACCTCTGAGTGTTTCTGTGAGGGCCTTTCCAAAGTGAGGAAAACCCGTCCTGGATGTGCATGGCATCATCCCATAGGCTGGGGCCTGGATGGAATGAAAGGGGAAAAGAGAAAACCAGACACCACACATATGCTTTCTCTCCGCTTCCTGGATGCCATCATGTGGACCGCCCTGCTCTTCTCAGCCATGCCTCCCCAAGGAACGTTTCTCCTTTATGAGTTCCGGCTACCCAGAACTCACTATGTGGATCAGGCTGGCAGGCTGGTCTCAAACTCACAGAGATCAGCCGCCCTCTGCCTCCTGAGTGCTGGGATTAAAGGTAAGCATCAGCATGCCTGGCTATGGATAAGTTTTTTTTCTCTCTCTCTCTTCCCCTCCCTTCCTTTCCTGGGAGTTAAAAAAAAAAATCGGAAGTGTTGGGAGCTGTGGGAAGGAAGTACCTTGAGAAGGTGGAGGCACAGGATGTGATGCCGCAGACCAGAGACAAGGGACGGCCTCAGTTGGCTGCTGTCCTCAGTCAGCTGATTGGCCAAATGCCAAGAGACCTATGGAGACACACTCAACTCCACCCCCTCTCCCTTACTCCACTCCCATCCCTCACGTATCTGCAATTGGCCACAACTCTGACTCTTGCTGGCCCCTCTTAGGTTCACCAGAAATCTCAGGCCCCATTCTATTCCCAGTCTCTGTGGCCAGTGGAGAACTGAATCCTGCCCGAGTCTGGTCTTAATGTAGGCAGGTAGAAAGGAAAATGTTACTAAACTCAATCTGAAGCCCACCCCCCAAAGAAAAAAGAAAAACATAATGGCTTCCAATTGGCTACCCTACCACCTGGGCAGTTACTGCCGAGCTGGGTAGCCAACTCATGGAATTTTAGCCATCCCATAGTGAACAAGTGGCTCAGACCAGTGTGGGAGTGTCTGTTTCTAGAAATCCTGAGCAAAGAGATGTCCAAGCTTAGTTTTCTGTCTCTCAGCAGTTGTGAGCAGCCTCCCCAGTTCCCAAATTGCAGGGAAGAAAGAAGCAAGAATTTGGGTCTCAGACCTGCTCCTTGGCATCCCAACAGCTCGGCAGCCCCACAGGAGCAGTACACAAGGCTGCCAGGGCAGAAGAAATGGCTCCAGGTATATCTTCACACTGCTCCCGAAGTGGCTGGCTCACTTGTGGGGCTCCTACGGAGAAAGGGAAAACATACTGGTAGGTCTGGTTGTTTCTCATAGATTCCCCCAGTCTTTTAGGACTTTGTTTTGTTTTGTTTTGTTAAGTCTTGCTTTGCTTTTTGGCTTTTTGAGACAGAATCTCATTATGTCCCAGTCAAGCCTTAAACTATGAAGTTGAAGATAACTGTGAACTTGAGCCTGCTGCCTCTGCCTCCAGAGTGCCATCAAACCCAGGGCTTCATGCTAGGCAAGCACTCCTCCAAATGAGCTACATTTCCAAGCTCAATTTACACTTTCTGAGGACCTGCCAAGTTCCAGGCATCATTCTAGATGATAGAAGTAGGAAGGACATAGGCAGGCCTATGAAAGAAGGTTGGCTCACCTGGCGGTGTGTGAAAAGGAAGCTGTGGAACTGTTAGGCCATGAAGGAGCCCATCCAACACAGCACGCTGTGTGGTCAACAGGCTGGAGTAAAAGGCATTGGAGATTGCCTGGCTGTTGCCATCCACAGCTTCACAAAGGACAGCAAAGCACTGAAGGGGAGAAGAGCAGAGACAGCAGGGCATCAGAAACCTGACTGGGCTTTAGTTAGAACCAAGAATACCTCAGGAACCCAAGGAAGGCATTAAGAGCCTAGGAGACAGGAGTCTAACCTAAGAATTCTCTACAGGGAAAATGCACCCACGGTCTTCCTGGTTGACAGAGGAGGATTTGAGGGTGAATCCTTCCCTTTCTCTTTTTCCTCCTACTGACACATGCATTCTCATTCTCTCTCTCTCTCTCTCTCTCTCTCTCTCTCTCTCTCCCCTCTCTCTCTTTTTCTGTCTCCTGAGATTCAACCAGTGCTGAAATTAAAGGTATGTTCCACTATGCCTGGCTTTTTAAAAATCTACTTATTTATTTGTTTGTTTATTTATTATGCCTATATTTATGGCCCCTGATGAATGCCAAACTACTCAATACCTCTGCATTTTAGATATGGTGCTCTTTCTATCTAGAGTGGCCCACCTTCCCTGTCCCACCCAAATTGGCAAGCTGCTATGCATTATCTATCTATCTATCTATCTATCTATCTATCTATCTATCTATCTGCTTTTTGAGACAGGGTTTCACTGTATTGTGTAGCCCTGGCTACCCTGGATCTTGCTCTGTAGACTAGGCTGGCCTCAAACTCACAGAGATCCACCTAGCCTCCCAAGTGCTAGGATTATAGGTGTACACTAATACTGCCCAGCTGCTGCTATGCATTCTTTGAATGTAAGCACACCTGACTTCAGTCTTCACAGTCTCTTTGAGGACTCTGCAGGCAGAGCTAATGGCATCTTCTTTAGTGGTGCCTCTGCACCATGTACAAAGTTCTAATGGACTTCTCACTTACCCTTCTTGACTTTTTTTTTTTTTCTCAAAACAGGGTTTCTCTATGTAGCTATGGCTGTCCGCTGTTTTTTTTTTTTTTTCTCAAAACAGGGTTTCTCTATGTAGCTATGGCTGTCCTGGAACTCACAGTGTAGACCAGGCTAGCCTCAAGCTCACAGAGATCTGCCTGCCTCTGCCTCCTGAGTGCTGGGACTAAATAAAGGCATTCACCACCACAACTAATCCTACTTGACTATCTTTAGTCTCCTTCACGGTGGAGACTCTGTTACTCATGTGGCATACGGCACATGGTGAGAATTCAGCATTTGTTGTAGTAACACAATCATAAGAAAGACCCTGGAAGAAACACAGGAAAAGACAGGAAAGATAGAAATCTGGAAGCAAGAGATGATTACCATAAGGCTGTCCCTCCTAAACGTCTGCTCGGAGTCATCTGATTGGGTCAACAGCTTCCCCAACAATTCCAAAAAGAGGTTGGAAGCCTCCTGAAACACCTGTAGGCTGGGGAAGAATGAACTCATGGCATCTTCCCATCCTCCCACTAAAAGCCTGGATATGAGTATGGCAAATGGGTCAGTTCTGGAAAGGTAAGAGATCTTTGCTAAGGAACACACCAGACTGTTCCTCCTTTCAGCTCTGCTGACAGACACACAGACAGAGCGGGGGAGGCAGGCAGAGGGAGTTGGGGATCTCACATACACCATTCAAGCTCGTTCTCAGCTGTTTTCACATTCGGATCCTTCCATTGAGGCCCATTTATGCTGGGTGATTGCTGACTCTTAGAACCTGACTGTCCTGGGGCAAAGCTGCAAGTGTCTCAAGGTCCTTATGCGATCAACTAAATTCTGAATGCTAGTCAGCATATCTCTAACTCTGTCACACATCACCACTTCTCACTTGGTCTACTCCAATTGAGGAGGGGAAGAAATGGAGTAGAAACTTAACCACACTGGCCAGCAGGGCAGAGGTGTCTCTTCCCCCACCTGTCACCTGTCTGGCTCCTCTCCAGATTGAAGGTGCACGAAAAGTAGGCCTGTACCACAGCCACCAGGTCCCGTAAAAAGGCCCTATACCAAGGTTGCTATGAAGAAAGGAGAGAAAGGGCACATGAGGAATGGAGGCCAAAGACAAAGAGCAGCAATAAAGGTATGCAGAGTGCCGCTGAGCTGGCCAGGTGGAAAGGGGGAGGGAAGGAGAAAGTCATAAGGGTCAGCCAATGGGCTGCAGACCATCTGGAGATGCCATTTGACTTGAGCAACATGTGGGAGTAGAGCAGGGGCTACTTCCCATAAAACTATCCTCTTCAGTTTCTTATATTTACCTGAGTTTGATACTTGGCAGCCAAGGGCTGCCTTACTCTGCCTTACCACACCCTCATCATCTGGGGGTGGGGGCTGATCTCTGAGCTCAGCCATGTCAGGACCCAATGCAAAGAAGTAAAGTTTAGCCCCAGACACACTGAGTCTTGATCCTAAGCTCTCCCAGCTATCATATGGCCATCTGCAGTGACTGCAGGGGCTAATCTCCAAACCTCAGTGTCCTGCTTTGAAAACCAGATAATAAAACACAAGTCTAACCCTCTGAAGCAACTCTTCTCAATATTGGGAAACTACCCATTTTTTTTAACTCTGGTTTTATCTTTCTCTTAGAAAACCAGATCAGGCACATTGGCTCAAACTTCTACATGACAAGGGGCCGGAGCTGAGAAGATGCTCCATTTAGGGTGAGGATATCTAACATACTCTCTACTACTTAGACAGCTGTATCCCTACCTCGCCTTCTTCACTGACTGACACTATTTGTTTAGCCCCAGAAGGCATCAGAATTTGCAAGTGATGGTCTGCTAATTAGAAAAAGAAGGATAGAAGAGAAGAGGCAGTCAGGTCAAAAAGATGGCCACTCCAAGGGAAGTAGGCAAGGAAAAGGACCACCTCCTGTCTTCAGAGGCTGCTGGGCCGCTGTGTACCTTCTGGATACTGCTGCTCTCCTGGCTGTGTCTAAGGAGGCTGAGAGGCAGCCTGGGTAGTCCTGCCTCCTGGCAGAAGGAATACAAGAGCACAGAGTCACTGCAGCTGGACAGGAGACTGCTCAGGACACGGAGTGCAGGAAGCAGGTGGGAAGCATCCTCTAGGATGCCTTTCAGGATCTGGAGAACATTAGAGAAAGAGACAGCAATTGGTATAATTACAGTAAAAGAAGAAGAGAATGGCTTCTGAATGGCTCCAAGGAGTTAGCAGAATAGACCAAATGTCTGCATCCCTACCTGGAGGAGCTAAAATGCCAGGGAGGGAGAACAGAGGCACAGGGAAACTGCACCAGAGAAGATGACTATGGAAGGTCACCTGACATGGAACACCAGTAACCGAGAGGCAGGGGACCTCAAGATCTGTCCACCAGACCCAGTACCATTGTTCCCTCACTTCAGTAGCCCTTCACCTTAAAGATAACAATAACATGGAGGCTGGAGAGATGATTCAGAGGTTAAGAGCACTGGCTGTTCTTCCAGAGGTCATGAGTTCAATTCCCAGCAACCACATGGTGGCTCACAACCATTTATAATGAGATCTGGCACCCTCTTCTGGTGTGCAGGCATGCATGCAGACAGAACACTGTATACATAATAAATCTTTTTTTAAAAAAGATAACAATAACAGCAACAACTACAATAAATAAAACAACAGATATGAAAAATAAAAACAACAGATACGAAACAATGTTATTTAACTCCAGAGAAACAAGACATCATTCAGCTCTAGACCAAGGACTGCTGACATTTCACATGCCAAATTTAGCCCAACACATATCTGTATGCAACCTGCATTCAAAGGATAGTACCATACTTTTAAATAGTTATTCTTCAAAAGAATAACATTGACACCAAATGTCTTACAGTTTGTCATTCTCATAACATTGACATCAAGTGTCTTATAGTTCAGCATTCTCAATTTTGACATTTATTATCCCATTGCCCAGTGTGTAGTAAAGAAAACTATTTGTTTTAAAGACAGGGAACTGATGCATCTATATAGATCAGGGCCCCATCAAACATCAATCTAGGTCTTCGTGAATTCTGATCCAGGGAGTCAGCAGCCAAAGACTTCCTGTTTTCTGAGAGGCAGAGGCTGGGCTGGTGAGATGGCTCGGCAGGTAAAGTGCTTGCTGCATAAGCCTGATGATCTGAGTTCTAGCAGAACCCACTTAAAGGTAGAATAGAGAACTGACCCCACAAAGCTGCCTCTGCCATCTGTCTACTCATGCACCATAGCGTGTGCCCCAAATTCATTCATAATAACTGGTTAATTTATTTTAAACAAACAGAGGTCCCATTATGTTGCCCAGGCTGGTTTCAATCTCCTGGGCTCAAGAAACAACCTGAACCAGGTGTGGAGATGTACACCTTTAATCAAGGCAGGGGTAGAGGTAGGGCAGGAGCAGAGGCAGAGGAATCATTTGTGAATTCAGGGCTAGCCTTGTAGAGAGACCCGGTCTCAAAAAGTGTGGTGGGTGGTTGGAGAAAAGAAACCATCTGCCTAGCTTCTCAGGTTAGAAAAAGAGATTTCAGTCTGCTTTCCCACATTAGAAATGCTCCAATAGCCGGGCAGTGGTGGTGCATGTATTTAATCCCAGCACTCAAGAGGCAGAGGCAGGTGGATCTTTGTGATCTGAAGCCAGCCTGGTCTACAAAATGAGCCTAGGACAGCCAGGGCTGTTACATAGAGAAACCCTATCTCAAAAAACAAACAAACAAAAAAAAACAAAAAAACAAAAAAAAAAAAGAAAGAAAAGAAAAAGAAATGGAGGGAGGGAGGGGAGGAGGGAGAGGGAGGGAGGGAGGGAGGATGAAAGAAGGAAGGAAAAAAGGAAAGAAAAGAAATGCTCCAACAGTAGGACGACAATTGTTAGATCCAGGAAATAAGAGCAAGGTGCCAATATAATTCAGTGGGAAAAGAAGAATTTTTTTTCAAAAACACACAAAGAGATGAACTTACTTCATGATCAAACATTAACTCAAAATGGGTCAGAGACCTATGTAAGTTTTTATGGAACATTTAGAAAATCTTCAAGCCAGGGCTACATAGTGAGACCCAGCCTCAACAAGAAAAAATGTGGAAACAAATCAATGGCCATCAGGTGGTGAATTAAAGAATAAAATGTTATTTGTACTTAGCAGTATAAAGTGAAAAGGTTGAGACCAGTGAGATGGTTCAGTGAGTAAAGGTGTTTGCTTCCAAGCCTGGCAACTTGAGTTCAATCCCTGGCACCCACAGGATAGGAGGAGAGATCCAACTCCAAAAAAGTGCCATTTGACATCCATACCTGTGCCAACGAACAAGTACCCCTATCTATTCACAAGTAAATGTCATAAACACTTTTTAAAGAAATTAAAGAGGCTTGGGGTAAAGCTCAGTGGAAGAGTGCTTGCCGCACATATAAAAGCCCCTGAGTTCATCTCAGCATCGCAAAATAACTAGCTAGATAAATAAGAATGAAATACTGCTATGTGCTATGCCATGAATAAACTTCAAAGACAAGCCAGTCATGGAAGTGCATAACTTAAATCCCAGCACTAGGGAGGCAGAGGCAAGCAGATCTCTGTGAGTTCAAAGTCAGCCTGGTCTACATAGTGAGTTTTAGGACAGCCAGAGCTACATAGTGAGACCCTCATTGGAAAATAAATAATTATTAAGAAAAAAACTTAAGCTGGGCATTGGTGGCGCACACCTTTAATACCAGTACTCGGGAGGCAGAGGCAAGTGGATCTCTGTGAGTTCAAAGCCAGCCTGGTCTTCAAAGTGAGTTCCAGGATAGGCTCCAAAGTAATACAGAGAAACCCTGTCTCAAAAAAAAAAAAAAAAAAAAGGAAGAGACAGGAGAGAAAGTTCTTACTGTACAAACATGAGGACCTGAGTTCACATCCCCAACACCCATGTAAAAAGCAATATGCCAATCAATCAGGGGAGAGAGAGCTACAGGGGGATTCCCAGGGCTTGGTAACAAGCCAGTCTACTGGAACCAGTGAGCCCTAGCTTCAGTGAGAGATCCTGACTCAAAACAAATAAAAGATGAAGAGAGATAGAGGCTGACACCTAACATTGACCTCTGGCCTCCACACCCACAGGCACACATGTGTGGGCATACACTGACACATAAAATGTGTATTAAATGAGGGAAATAAACATAAACCAATATTTGTTAAGTTCCTAGGAGGGAAGAGCACTGTTCTGGAGATGCAAAGAAGGGCTTTAGGAGGAAGGAGCCTAACTTTTAATGCTAATTAAAATGTTGCCCCTAAAAAACCAAAACCAAAATCAAATAAAACTCAATCATCTCATTAGATACCTACTGTATACTTGTGTAATTATAGTTTCACTTTTTCAACAAAAATTTTGTGGAACTATGTTTGCTCTCACTTTGTAAGTACAAAAGAGCCTCAATTTTTGCCTCTTGGCCCATGCTGCCCACAGTGTTTGCTATGAAGAAGCTCACTGGTTCCTGTTCTAGACGGGTATTTTTTTTCCCTTTAGAAAGAGAAATCTGAGGCCTGCTCTGTGTTCTTCTGAGCTTTTCCTTGAAAGAAATGGAACAGGACAGCCTCTCTGTCTCCTTATGGTGGTGACATCATCTCCGAAGACTGTCCCAATCCTTCCACAGCCCCTTCGGATTGTTACCTGCTCGGCAGTCCCACGAAGCTGACTCTGGATGCGCTGGCAGAAGTCAGGATTACACAGAAGAGTGAGAGGGGCCTTCAGATGCACTGGCACAGGCTCGGTAGTCTCCAGGAACCGTTGCCACTCGTCATCGCTGTCTGGCTCCTGAGCATTTGGAGTGAAAGAGGTCAAGAGGATTAAGTGCTGGGTCATAGCTTCAACCCCAGATTAGAGACTGAGTGGTTTATGAAGTAACAACAAGTAGCCTGTGGCTCCTTCAGCACAGGAGTGCATTGTCAGACACTGTCAAGAAAGACACAATGGGCAGTATACAGGGGTCTTGAAAAGCCCCTTGTGGAGCACCGGGGTATATGCATAAAGAGGTACCTAGAAGTGTCCAGTACAGCATGGCTGATAATGACAAAACATGGAAATGTCGTAAAGCCATTTGGGAAGGGAATAGTAAGCCATGGTCTGTCTCTAACAGGAACTTCTAGGACGTCTTTAAATAGATCACATTACTAAGGATTGCCTGCTATAGGATTTCTACCCAAAATACACAGGCTGACTCTAATCACAAAAGAACAATTTGAGGAGCACTGCAAAATCATTCCATTGTATACTGTTCTGGCTGGGCATATTTCAAGTGTATTCTCTCAGAGTTTCATGTTTTAAGTTCCTAGTCTCAGCATGGTAGCATTCAGAGATGCTGAGACGACCCTGCAGGAAACACTAAGATCTCCCTTCCCCTGGACCCTCTGCTCTGCAGCAGGAACTGAATGCAAGGCCATGAATATCCAAGGCAAGAGGCAAGCAGCATGCATTATCCCACTGAGCCACATACCCAGACAGTAAAATACTTTTTCTTTTCTTTTCATTTTTTTTTTTTTTTGAGACAGGGTCTCACTATGTAGTTCTCTGTAGACCATGCTGCTGGAACTCACAGAGATCCACCTGTCTCTGCCTCCCAAGTGCTGAGACTAAAGGCATGCGCCACTCCTGGTTCAAAGTGAAATTTCTGACTATAATAGTGCAAGGGAATGACTTTATTCTTAGGAAATATGAACCAAGTATTTTGAGGTAGAAAGGCATGTCTGCAAATTGCTTCAAACTGATTTTAAAAAGACAGTATGTCCATTATTCATGGAGACTCATAAAGCAAATGTGACAAAATTGTGACAGGTGACTGAATCTGGGTGTGGGGAAGACTACAGCTTGAATGTTTTTGTCTTCTCTAAACTACTTTGTGTTGGTAATTTAATTTTTCAAAGCAAAGGTGTTGGAAAGTGGAGCCTAATAGGAGGGTTTTTTTGGGGAGGGGTGGCTTTTTTTTTTTTTTGCCAAGAGCTCCAACACTATACACTAATTCATGCTGCTATAAAAATAATTTCCAGGGGCTGGATTGATGGCTCAGTGATTAAGAGGTCTGAAGGACTTGGGTTTGATTCCCAGCATGGTGCTTCAGAACCCTCTGTAACTCCAGTTCCAGGGGATCCAATGTCCTCTTGTGGCCTCCATAGGCACCAAGCAGGTACCTGGTGCACAGACATACATGCAGGCAAAATATAATAATTTTTAACTGTTTCTAGAGCTAGGTCTTGAGGTTCACTCCTATAAAGCCAGCATCCTGGAGGGTGAAGTAAGAGTGCTGTGAATTCAAGGCCAGCCTGGGCTACATAGTGAGAACCTGACTCGATTTTCTACAACATGGAAACAGCATTCTTCCCACTTCAAAGGATGTGGTACTCAAGGTACCATCTTGAAAGCACAAGATTGAGCCTGCCAACATGTTCACTTCAGACTTCCCAATAAATCTTTGTTCATTACAAATTACCCAGTCTCCAGCACCTGACTCCAGATCCACATCATCAGGGACTCTGTCACTCAGTGAAGCCAGCAAGAGAAAAGCCAAGGTTTTGAACTATAAAAGAAAGACCATGGCTGGACAGATGGCTCAATGGTTAGGTGCACTGACTGCTCTTCCAAGGGACAGGGGGGTTCAATTCCCAGCACCCACATGGCGGTTTACAGCTCTCTGTAGCTCCAGTTCCAGGGGACCTGACATCCTCACCCAGGCATACATGAAGGCAAAACACTAATGCATATTAAAATAAATAAACAGATTTAAGAAAAAGACAAAACACAACAATGACAACGACAATAAAAATAACAACAAAACCAAACTGTGTTGGCTTTGACAGGATCTGTAAAAAACACAATTGCATTTAAATTTCTGATAAAACCAAAACACATGAATTCTACCAGGTCCATTTCATGTACAACATGTAGGTATGTGGTAGAAGAGTAAGAAGGCATGTTGCCATTTTTCTTTGAAACTACAATTTTTGTCTTTTTTTTTTTTTTTTTTTTTTTTTTTTTTTTTTCCCGAGACGGGGTTTCTCGGTGGCTTGGGAGCCTATCCTGGCACTCGCTCTGGAGACCAGGCTGGCCTCGAACTCACAGAGATTCACCTGCCTCTGCCTCCCGAGTGCTGGATTAAAGGCGTGCGCCACCAATGCCCGGCTGAAACTAGAATTTCTTTCTTTTTTTTTAAAGATTTTATTCATTTATTATGTATACAACAATCTGCTTCCATGTATATCTGTACACCAGAAGAGGGCACCAGATCTCATTACAGATGGTTGTGAGCCACCATGTGGTTGCTGAGAATTGAACTCAGGATCTCTGGAAGAGCAGTCAGTGCTCTTAACCTCTGAGCCATCTCTCCAGCCCTGAAACTAGAATTTCTAAAGTGCTTTATTTATATATAAAATCTCTCTCTGTGTGCACATGCACGTGTGTGTGTGTGTGTGTGTGTGTGTGTGTGTGTGTGTGTAAGCCACAGAGTACACAGAGTGTCAGTCAGAGGACAACTTTTAGGAATAGGTCCTTTCTTTACACCATGTGAATTCAAGTGATTCAACTCAGGTTTATAGTCTTGTGGCACGTGCCTTTACCTGAGGAGTCATCTCAAATCTGAAATGCTTAATATACTATGCATTGGTGTTATGTAATAATTTCTTCCTAGATAAAATTTCCCTTCTTGGAGGAAAGGTAGTTAGAGCACAGGGTGTCCTAAGAGAAGTGAAACAAACATTCGTCTGTAGGGATCTCTCAAGTTGGGAAGAAAACAACTGAACCCCAGGAAGTTCCTGAAACTGAATGGATTGACTAGGTCCTTCCCTCTCTAGTAAGGACTACTGAGAGATATTTTTGAGGTAGCTGACCATAAGAGGCAGAGAGACAGACCAGCCAAAAAAAAAACCCTGAAAAGGCAGACACTGACTGAACTGTCTGGAAGAGGTTCAGACCAACAGAACTGCCTGGAAGGTGTGCAGATACTTACAGTTCCCAGCTTTTGTGAGCTGTCACTCATGCTGGGATGGGCTTATGGAGATGCAGCTGTCTTTGAGTCATTTCTGCTCCTGTAACCCTCACCCATACTCCTGTAAGTAACCCCAATAAAAACCTATTGGTTAAAAAAAAACAAAACAAATTACCCAGTCTCTGGTATTTTGTTTTGGCAACACAAAATAGACAGAGATAAGGGTAAGGGTATAAATGGTGTCTATGTATTCTCACATTTATTTTATTTATTTATTTGGGTTTTTTTTTTGAGACAGGGTTTCTCTGTATTGCTTTGTATGTTGTCCTGGAACTCACTCTGTAGACTAGGCTGGCCTTGAACTCACAGAGATCTGCCTGCCTCTGCCTCCCAAGTGATGGGACTAAAAGGCGTGCGCCATCAATGCCCAGCTATAATTATTTTTTAATGTGTTTGTCTATATATATATGTTTATGCACGATATGCATGCCTGACGCCTGAGGTCAGAAGAGATATTGGATCTCTTGGAACTGGAACTGTGGATGGTTGTGATCTACCACATAGGTAGTATGAACTAAACCAGGGGCTTCTACAAGAACAAGTGCTATGTGTGTGGGGGAGGGGGCAGAGACAGGGTTTCTCTGTATAACAGCCATGGCTGTCCTACAACTATTCTGTAGACTAGGCTGGCCTTGAACTCACAGAGATCTGCCTGCCTCCGCCTCCCAGAACAAGTGCTCATAACTGCTGAGCTCACTGCTCCAGCCCCGTGATTATTCAAGTTGAAATTATTTCAAAATTTCAAAATTAAAACTCTAAAATAGACACAAAAGGCCAAGGAAGAAATACATGCTCTGATGTAGAAACATGCCCTAAAATAGATCATATGGTAAAAGAAGCATGATGCAAGAAATAAACAGGATTAAATCCAATAATGCAGAAACAGCCCATTGCACATATACATACATGTGAAGTTCAGAGAGTCTGAAAGTAGACAGATTAGTAATGGTAGCCATCTCTGGAAGTGAGGTAAGGTTCAACCTTCATTTTTGTTTGTTTTCTTATTGTTGTTTTGTTTTTTGTTTGTTTGTTTAGGTAAGGCTCCATTATGTAGCCCAGGCTAGCTAGATACTTCTGGGCTAAGAAGATTCTCTTCTCTCAACCTCTGCAAAAACTGGAACTATAGGGAACGTGCTAACCTTTAGAACCTCCAATCTTATCTGTGCATCCTAATTTTTGAGAATCACATGTTCACATAATATGTAATTAAAATTAATAAACCTGTAACAACATCATTTTTAATAAAAGGGAGCTTGCATTCATAGCTCATACTACTGTAGAAAAGCACTCATTTAGACCTAATGCCCCACCTCATTTTCTAGATCCATTGCATCAGTGTTCTGCTGGCCCATTGTCTCTGGCCTCAACTCCGGGAACACTTGTTCACACTCCAAGGTGATGTGGTCTTCCCTGCCAAAGCAAAACCAGAGTAAGATGACTTCTGGACCTGTGAGACTTAAGGTTTGTTGCCTTGTAGCTCCCTCAAGGCTTAGGAAAAAGCCTAGGAAGATCAGTCATACAAACAGGTAGAGGGCATTTCTTTGCAGGGGGGGTGGTTATGGGATGTGGTCAGTTCAGTACATGTTAACATTCACACACAGACTTTTTTTTTTTTTTTTGAGACAGGGTTTCTCTGTGTAGCTTTGAAGCCTATCCTAGCACTCTGTCTGTAGACCAGGCTGGCCTCAAACTCACATAGATCTGCCTGCCTCTGCCCCCCCCCCCAAGTACAGGTATTAAAGGCATGCGTCACCACTGCCCGGCCACACACAGATTCTTGACTGCCCTTCCCAGCTTGATCCTACTCTTAAGGAGACTTGATTTTTTTTCACCCATTACTTTCCACTCAAATATTCTTCCCTTGTGGACAGAAATGCTCCTTGTCATTTCAAAGCACAACTGAGACAGGAAGACAAAAATCCTCAAGTTTCCTGATGTGTCAAGAAATAATTAGAGGGCCTGGAGAGATGGCTCAGTAGTTAAGAGCACTGGCTGCTCTTCCGGAGGATCCAGGTTTGATTCTCAGCACCCATATATTAGCTTACAATTGTCTATAACGCCAGTCTCAGGGGATCTAATGCCCTCTTTTGGCCTCTGAAGGCACTATACACATATGATATGCAGGCCAAACACCCATACATATAAAATAAAAATAAAAAAGTAAACCAGAAATAATTAGAACCCAAGAACTTAGGATTTAAACTTCTAAAGCCCTTTCTATGTTTAGGCAAAGGCTAGTGACAAAGCCATTTAATGTTTTCTTTAATTGTTCTGCTGATAACTCCCTGCCTCTCCAACACACATACACCGTTTTACCCTTCTCACCGAGGTGTGGGGGGTGCTTCTCCAGCCACCCAGTCTTCCCAGTTGCTCTTCATTTCTGAGTCCAATATACTAGCCAAGAGGCTTGATTCTTGAGGAGAAGCCTTTAGTTCAGGCACAGGGGCTGAGCCAAGAGTCACCTTGCTGAGCCTCTCTTCTGGTTCAAGGGCAGGTCCTGCATTCTGTTTTTTCTATAAGGGGTGGGTAGGAGACAAGAGAATGATTTGGGCAGTATGGATCCTATTTCTATCCTTTTGCCAATTCTCTAAAAGTCACCTCTTTCTCCATCTCCCCAAAGTCACTAGCCTGTTTGCATCATATATTTTTCTCTGACCCACACACCTTCTGCTTGGCTTTTTCAGCCATGTGTTTACAGGCCTGGCGCAGGATGCGAGACTGGTTACCCTTGGGTGCCAGCCGATGGACCTGTTCATCCTTTAGGACCTGCAGTTCTGGAGGTAGGCGACTCGTAAACGGGGTGCCCAGATCTGAGCCTGCTGGCTCAGTTATTACTGCAGAGAGGGAAGAGGAGAGGACATGACTCTTCTAGGTCTGTGACCACCATGGCTACTTGGCCAGGGACAACTTCAGTGTCTCTAGGACCCTGTGGAAAGCAGCCATTTTGACAAACAAAAAAGCACGAGTGGTAAAAGCTAGGCTATAGAAGAAAGAAGTCCAAGCTGGGGAGGAATGAGGTGTGTGGCATCAGACAGTTAGGAAGGTGGAAGATGAGAAAATGCTATGAATGGCCAGAGCCCTGGGAACCCTGATGACTCACTGGTGACACGGCCAGCAATAAAGGGGTGATGCAAGAGGTCTGGCCAGGACAGACGATGCCGGGGATCCTTGGTGAGCAACCCCTGCAGGAAGTTCTGTGAAGAGAAATAAAACATCATCAGCCCTTCCTGCACTTCCTTCTAGGCTCTCCCTAAGTTCTCAGCGGTGCTGGCAAGCCAACTCCTGCATCTGTTCTTACAGCCACTCAAACATACCTTTAACAATTGTCCCCAGCCGGGTGTTGGTGGCGCACACCTTTAATCCCAGCACTCGGGAGACAGAGGCATGTGGATCTCTGTGAGTTCGAGACCAGCCTGGTCTGCAAGATCTAGTTCCAGGACAGCCTCCAAAGCCACAGAGAAACCCTGTCTCGAAAAACCAAAAAAAAAAAACAAAAAAAACAAAAAACAAAAAACAAAAACCATCCCCTTTAATTCCAGGCAGACCACTGCCCTCAACTCCTAAGGAGCCATGACTGATATTCACAGATGTTCCATAACCCTGAAGTAAAAACAAATCTTCATGCCACAAACTTTGAAGAGTAGGGAGAAAAATCCAGAAGAGGGATGTCACTTCACAGTCATCTTCAGAAACCAAACATTCACAGTCACAGATTGATTGTGGATGGTTATGAACTGATGCACCCATGACTAAACACATACACAAATAAGCAGTGGCTCAAGGATGTGTTTGGGAACACTCAACAACAGAAAACTTCAGTGAATTTTCAGATGGAGGAGGGACGGAAAGGGTGTATCTGATAAGAAGAAACCCTTAATTAGATCTGAAACAAGAAGAGAAGGTAGGTGCTGCAGAGATAGCTCAGTGGTTAAAAGCACTTCCAAAGGAGATGAGTTTTGTTCCCAGCACCCTTGTCAAGCAGCTCATAACTGCCTATAACTAGCTCCAGGAGACAATGCCTCTGGCCTCCAGGGGAACTTGCACTAACACATACACACTTGAAAATGGAGGGCTACTCTCTCAGCCTAGATAGAGGGGGGAGGGCCTCAGTCCTGCCCCAAATGTTGTGATAGGCTTTGATGATCCCCATGGGAGGACTCACCCTCCCTGAGGAGTGGATGGGGAATGGGAGAACTGGAGGGAGAGGGAACTGGGATTGGTATGTAAAATAAGATTGTTTTTAATTTAATTTAAAAAAAACAAAAAAAAACTTTTAAGAAAGAATGCTTTTTAAAAATATAAATAAATAAACTTTAAAAAAAACAAAAAAAACTTTTAAGAAAGAATGCTTTTTAAAAATATAAATAAATAAACCAAATACAAGTTATTAATAGGCTATGAATACTGTTCTAAAATGTGGTGACTTGTTTTACTATAGCTATTGCTGAAGATTCCTGCGTATCTACCCAAGGAAGAAAGAATATTCTAGGTATACTTCCCTCATTTAAAGCTCATTTATTTAACTTTTTTGAGAATTATTTGGGCACCCCGACTATGTAAGTTAGCAAAAACATGTCCCCTTCCATCTTAGATAAGCCAAAGGAAACCTGCATTGAGACTTTATTCTGGGAGAAGACTGTATTTGAATTCCATTGAGGCCCACAACCTTGTCCTAGATAAGAAATGAGTATAACAAACTCCTCTTCTCTCCCCCACCAACCTGCTGGGACAAAGTTACAGTGAGTAGGTACCACTTCCCATCACCCACCCCTAATCACCAGCCACTCTAATAACTGAAGAGCACTGAAAACAGTGTGGGGAGCAGCTGGGTTGCATCTGATACTGTATCTGGTAGGGGGTCAGTGGAACTGGAGACACATAAAAGCCCAGCAGCTCTTTCCTTCCTACTGTGATAGAGCATAGCTTGTCAGCATGATTGTGGAAAAGAGGCAATAGAGGAAGGCAGGTTTCTGATATAAAAGCTATCCTTTATCTCCTTTTACCTTGAAGCAGGGACTGATGGTGGAGGGCCAGCGCACAGGGTCCTTGAGAATGAGGCTAACCAGCTGAAAGATGCTGGTGGTGTAGAAGGGAGGCGTGCCCACAGCCAGCTCATACAGGATGCAGCCTACAGACCAGAGGTCTGCAGTGTGGTCATACGGTCGCTCCTCCACCAGCTCTGGAGACATATAGAGTGGTGTGCCTTTGATGGATGTCAGCACCATGGTGTTAGTGCTCATAGCTCGGGCAAATCTGCAGAGATGACAGGATACAAATGAAAAAGATCTTCCTGACCTTGTCACAGCGAGAAAATGGCATCGGAGGACAGGGGCCAATGTGGTGGCTCAGTGGCAAAAGTGCCTGCCATCGTGCCTGATGGCTTGTGTTCCACCCCCCAGGACTCACATAATGGTCGGAGGGAACTGACTCCTGCAAGTTGTCCTCTGACCTCTACAAGCATGCCATGGTGTATGTGTGCCCACATCTTCACAGGCACAATACATAAACGTCATAAAAATATCTTTCAAAAGAAAATTGAACCTGGCCATTTGCTACCTGTCAGCACATGGGATAACCTGAACCAAAGCAGACGCAGTACCTTTGATCAGTTCCAAAGGCCCAGCCAGAGGCCCAATCTCCAGCTGTGGTTCTAACATGAGGCTCTGGGTAGTCTAGGACTCCCTGAAGGAGAAGCATAGGTGGAAGCCCAGAAACCCTACCCAAAGTCACAAAGTTTGATGCCACCACCCTTGGCGAGGAGAATGTTCTGAGGTTTCATGTCTCGGTGGAGGATTCGGTGAGAATGCAGGTAATACAGGGCTGACACCAACTGGGCAGCAATGGCCTGAACCTAGGGGTCAGACAAATGAAAGGAAAGGTCAGAGAAAGAAGCCAGCGGACAAGCCAAAGAGTTCCAGTATCGAGGCTAGTTTGACTTTTTGTTCTTCGCTTCTCTTCTTAGGGCCTCACTTTATGCTACATCCTTCTTGGTTCTTGTTCCCCTTAATTCATCCTTTTATTTGTTCAAGGAAAACCTATTGTATCTCTTGGCTTCATCACCATGAACAAATTATTCTGTTTCCCAGAGTCATCATCTATAAGGAGACAATAATACAGCACCTACCTCCCAGGACTACTGTACAG